TTCAGGCTTTTCTTGGTGGTTTTTTATCGTTGGCCTTTTCAGTCTTGCAGGCCCCGAGTGTCCTTGGGGTTGCTGGAAAGCAGAACATGTTCTTAAGCCCCAGAAATCTGCCAGAGCGCTGTCTCTTTAAATATCCAAAATAGTCAAGCTGCTTTTTAAACCTTCAAAATGGCGGTGCCCTCCGGACCAGCAAAAGTCCACAGCTCAACCCACCTTTTTCTTCACCTTCTCCGTTTGTTCCCTAGTCACCGTGCACAGTCCTCGGTGCAGTCCCTAGCTAGCAGGGTGATTTTTAGGTTAATTCTTAAGTCCTACCACCACAGGAATCTGTGACAGCGCTGTCTCCTTAAATATCCAAAACAGTCAAGCCGCTTTTTAAACCTACAAAATGGCGGTGTCCTCCGGACCGGCAAAAGTCCACAACTCAGTCCACCTTTCTCTTCACCTTCTCTGTTTGTTCCCCAGCCACCAGCTGGTACTAGTTTAATATGTGGCCTTCAAATGTTTGAAGATAATCAGAATATTTACACTGTGTGTCCTTTGACTACCCATCCTAGTTCTTCACTGGTTCCCCATTGTCAGTATTTCTAGACCCTTCTAACGCCAGTTGTTTTCTTCTCAGTACACTGTAGTTTGTCAATGTCCTCTTAAAAAGCAGCATAGAGAATTATATTGCTGAGCAAGTATTTGTTAGAGGAAGACTGGGCACTCTACCTGCAGAAATACCGCATCTGAACCCCAAGGAAGGGTTGCTGTGAGTCGCATTTGACTTGATGGCAGTGAGTATTTTTTTTTTTTTTTTTTTATTAAATGGTAGGTGTTCTGTCCTAGATGCTATGTATACCACAGCGACCAAGATGGATATTCTATAGGGAAGCAGACAGTAAACAAATAAATAAAATGAAAATACTATAGGTTATAATGAGTGTTATAGAGAAAAGAACCATAGTGCTACAATAAAGAATAATACAGGCAAGGGGCTACTGTGAGTGAGGTGGTCATCGAAGAATAAAGGTACAGAGTTGGGCAAAATGTTGGTGTATCCTAAGAATTAATGGAAGGCCACTGTGGCTGAGCAGCAAAGTGATTGTGGGGCAGAGTGGCAGGAAATGAAGTCAGAGTGGAAGGCAGGGGCCAGATCCTGCAGCTCCTGTAGGCCTTGGTGAGGAATTTGTACTTTATCTATGTGTAATGGGAAGTCATTGAATGTGAGATTGACTAATGGGATTAAAATGAAGAAACAAAGGAAAACAAAACAAACCAAACCAACCCAATCCAGACCTTAGACATTCAGTTCAGTTTTGACTTGCCAGGCCAAAAAGCCAAAAAAATCAAACTCAACTGCTGTAGAGTTGAATCCGACTCATAGCGACCCCTCCTTGAGTTTCCAAGGTGGTATCTCTAAGAAACTAGATTGCCCAATCTTCCTTCCAAGATGTGACTGGTGGGTTAGCAGTCAAATACCTTAGGTACTATGACAGTTACCCCAAAAGAGTATATATGCTGTCCTTATGCAAAGATTTTTGGAATCATTTGATTTTGAAAATGCCTTTAGAGCTATTTACATAGAATGCACATTGCGTATGTTATAAATCCCACATTATATTGTTATTATTTTTGCTTAAACCGTAAAGTGTCTTTTAAAGAGATTTAGATAATAATAATAAAATCTTATTTACCCTTATAAATAGGTAGCCACCATTTCCAGTGCTCCTCACTCCTCTGCGTAGATCCAGTTGCCATCTAGCATCCTTTTCATTCTGCCTGCACATTTCTTTGTAGTGCACATCTGCCATGATGAATTCTTTCAGCCTTTATATGTCTGAACAAGTCTTTAGTTTGCCTTCTATTTTGAAAAAATATTTTTGCTTGATATAGAATTCTAGGTTGGTAAGTTTTTTTCTTTTTAGTACTTTAAAGATGTTTGTCTGCTGTCTTCTCACTCTCACTTACACTCTTTCTAATGGGAAATCTCCTCTCTTCCTTATCTTTGTTTCTCTGTTTAGAATATGACTTTTTTTTCTTGGTTGCTTTTAAGATTGGCTAAGAACAATTTTTATTATGATGTACTGTGCTATAATTATATGTTTATTGTTCTTAGGGTTTGTGGAGATTCTTGATCTGAGGGTTTTAGTTGTCATCAAATTTGGGAAATGATAATTTCTTCAAATATTTTTTATGTACCCCACCCCCTTCCAATTACACATATGTTTGACCACTTGAAATTGTTCAATTGGGCAATCTACTTCCATAAAGATACTGCCTCAGAAACCCAAGGAGGGATCGCTATGAGTCAAATTGACTCAACAGCAGTGAATTTGGTTTTTGGTATATCCTTATTGATAACATGACTTAGATACCAAATTCATTTAATTGTAAATTAGCTTAGACTTTACCCCATGACTGTGCTATATTCTACCCATCTTCTATGGACAGACATTCCTGTTTATAGTTTTGTTGCTATTATAATCACTGCCATAGTAAACAGTCAGGTCCATGTCTCCTTATGGATACATGCAGGAGAGTCTGACTTGATGTGTATTTGGAAAATTGCCCCCACTAGAAATCCCCAATGCATGGGGAAGTGATTGATTCATAAATATTTAGTGAATGAATTAAATAGCAGTAACAACAAAAATCTAATTAACTGCTGTTTATTTATAAAAAACACACCCAAATCTATGTTCAAGAAACTATGCAAGGTGCTTCTCCAAGTTGGATGTCTATTTATTTATTTTGCAGTTTTTCTTTTCTGAATGTAGTTAAAGGACCATTTTGTTATGTCAGCTTTTAGGTTGTATCTCAGTCTAGCTTTCGTTTTTCTGATTCTCTTCTAATGGATTACTGCAGTACTTTTATACATGTCCTTGGTTTTGTGCCTCTCTTTCATCTTTTGTGATGCATAGTAGAGGAGCCCTTGGCTGGTGTAAACAGTTAATACACTTGGTTATTAACTGAAATGTTAGTAGTTTGAGTCCATCCAGAGGTGCCTTAGAAGAACGGCCTGGTGTTGTACTCCTGAAAAAGCATCCATTGAAAGCCTTATGGAGCTCAGTTCTACTCTGACACACATGGCATTACCATGAGTTGGAATCAACTTGATGGCAGATGGTTTTGTGTTTTTATACATAATATAGTTTTGATAATATGTGAAAATACAAAGAAGAAAATAAAAAACACGAATCCCACTGTGCATGTATTCTGAGGTCAGTAGTGACTTCCCTTGGGGAGGCAGCATGATAGAGGAAAGAAGATAGACTTTAGAGACAGACCTGGTTTTCTATCCCGAATTTGCAATTCAGTAAGTGTGTGACTTTGAGCAAATTATTTAGTCTGAACTTTAGTTTCCTCATCTGCCAAATGAGAGAAATACTACCTGTCAAGTACAGTGTTTGTGAGGATTTGTAAGGTGCTTATTAAATTGTATGGAGCTCTGGGGGAGCTCTGGTAGCATAGTGGCTAAGACACTTGCCTGCTAACCAGACGGCTGACGGTTCAAACCCACCAGCCACTCCTCAGAAGGAAGGTTGGGCAATCCTACTTCCATAGTGATACTGCCTCGGAAACCCAAGGAGGGGTTGCTATGAGTTGGGTTTGACTCGACGGCACATATTTGGTTTGGTTTTTGTTAAATTGTAAGTGCTTAGCCATTGTAGTAAGTCCTCCATTGCTTCCCTTCCTTTGATGCTTCTGCTTTTTTTTAAAAAAATTCCTTCCGTTTTTTAAAATTGTTCAGAACATAGAATCTGATTTTCATCTCTCATAAGATTTTATTTCTTTCATGACCCATTCTCTTTTATTCTTAATCCATAAGGAATATCTAACTTTTATCTGAGTCTTAGAAAGTTTTTAGAAATATTTGGATCATGCGTTCCATTTTGTCTGGTATTCCATGGTTTTACAAATACAGATTCCTGAATAACCCAGTCACTTTGCCCCTAGATTCCTTTCATTTTGTGCTGTCGGATATTGCTTCTTTATTGATTGGAATAGCAGTTTCCCTCATGCTTCTCCAGTGGGGAGAAAGTAATTATATGCTTATTACAGAAAATTAGGAAACTACAAAAAAGTAAAAAGAATATTTAAAATTATATGAAGTTCTGGTATACTGTTAATATACTAGAATAATATGTTTCTTCTTTTATGTATGTTTCAGTAATTTTTTTTTGGTTTGAATAATAGGTTTAGATGTATTTATTCATAATATATCTATATTTTGAGAGGCAAAGTATCAATAAAGTTTGACAGATTTTCTGTGCCATAGAAATAGTACTTTAGGAAGTTCAGACTTTGAGATCTGGGGACTCACATTTTGTTTCATCTCAAATTAAGTGTGAGATGATATGTGAAAATCTCATTCTCATACTTGTTGGCCATCTTGACTTTGGTCTTGAGAATTGCTTAATGTACACTTGCTTTTCCTAGCATCTAAAACAGTTTTTATCACTAGAATCTTCCTCTTACTCTAAAGAGTAATAAATTATTTTCAGTATGTTTGTTTGAAGCTTTTGATAAATTTTAATTATATATTTTTATTTCAGAGTTTTCTTTCTTTGATCCTAATGATGCATCATGCCAGGAAATTCTCTTTGATCCCAAAACTTCGGTGTCAGAGTTATTTGCTATTTTAAGACAGTGGGTTCCTCAGGTCCAGCAGAACATTGACATTATTGGAAATGAGGTAAGAGATTCTTAAATTTGAAGGTTTGCATTATTAGGATTGTTAATGCTGAAGAATTGTTTTTCCATCTGGCTGGAAGGGTGGTGATTGAAGAATAGGCCCTTTTGACATTCTGATGCTTGTTCTTTGTATTTCCAGGTTCTTCATGGGCAGTGAGTTAGTACTGCATTCTTCCCATTATTTCCTCATATACATTACTTTCTTACATTTGGAATTTTGCCATTACAAACTCTTGGTAGAAGCAGAGGGGCATTTTCTTATTTCTTTTCTTTGTAGAAATTAATTTTGCAAAAATTTTTTGATGCATTTCATTAAGGGATTTGATTAGCAACATGTTCTATCTACACATTTAGGTGGTTTGGCAAATATGTAGGCTTAAATATAATTTTTTCAAATAAATTTATTCCTGGGGAAGGGGGCATATGGAAAAATAAGTGGGTTCTTTCACCTGCATGTTTTATAGGAAGAGATAGCTTACACTTTTTTCAAATACCATTTGCAAAAAAAATGGGGTGGAGGCACCATCCAAACTCCTGTCTAGCTTCACTAGGGGTGAAGCATCACCATCATCATCAGACCAAGGCTGATTCCTGTGAAGCAGAGGTCAGACATACCTCCTCTCTCCAACCTTTTGACCAATTCTCACACCAACTGTCCCATCCACTGCATTCTCTACTTTTCTGATGAGTCTGATAATTTGTTGTAATGGGCACACAGAGCTCACAGACCATACTCAGAGTTACTGGGTTTATTAGGGAAGTAACAGGTTACAATTCAGGATCAATAATACCTCAGGATACAGCTCTTTAATCAGGACAGCCTCTTCTGAGCCATGCCCAGGCAAGGTTCTCTCTGGCCCTCAGCCTCTTGACTCTTCCATCCCTTGGTTCCTTGACCCTTCAGCCCCTTTACCCCTCAATCCAGCCTTTGCTGTGCTCTGGTGAGTGTTAGCAAAGTTCTTTAGGTCTGCCAATAACTACTTGAAGGCACTGCACTGTGCCAGTAAGCCTTAGCCCAAAGGCACTCAACTTACCCTGTGGGTCAGCATACCTACTGTAGCCACCTTGCTCCATGGGCTGGGCCCACTGCACCATCTTGCACCAGTCTCCTGGTTCTGCTGCTGCTGTTTCTCTGCCTCTGTTTCTTGCTGTTGTGCACCATCTCTGGTGTTACAGCTCTCTCTCTTTCTCTGTCTCCAGGGTCTGGGAGATTCTCAGCACAGGGACCCCAGGTTCAAAGAGCATGGTCGGCTCCTATCTCTTCTTGGTGGTCATGAGGTTCCATCTTCCTGCCCTTGTGGTGGTTCATTTTGAGCCTAGTGGGATGGCATCATTGACCAATCCCCTTGTTAGGGTTCCATACACCTTATTCGCATTGTCCCACTTATACAAGGGTGCTATGCACCTTAATTGCATTATTAGCAAGGTGTCCAGTATTCTTGGTGGGCAACAAGCACCTCATTTGCATGGTCCTTCCCAATTGTTATGTGGGGAGTTATAAGACCATTATGATTAAAAGGACTGTATTAAGTAATTTACTGCATTGAACCATTACAACCATTAGAAAGAAAAGTTTGCTTATTTTTTGACAGGGTTAAGGGACATGGAGTGTTGGCTTACTTTGAAGTACTCTTTAACAATTTTCTCCAGTCAAGTGATAAGTTAAATTTTCATAACTGTTGTTGGGTGCACATTTAAAATTTATCCTTAAGAGAAGCCAGTTCTATCTATGTATTTTATTGAAAACTAATTTGGATATGATGAACTAAGTTTGTTCCTCAGCATTGATTGGAAATCAACTCACACTTCAGTAGTCACATTGTAATCATATTTTCCCTGGTTTCCTGAGATTCTTAAGAGAGGTTGCAATGTGAACGACAGAGATGGATTGACAGATATGACTCTTTTACATTATACCTGCAAATCTGGAGCTCATGGTATTGGTAAGTACTTGCTAATTCCATTAATTATTTAGAAAATCTGTATCTGTGCTTATATAATCTATGTTTATGGCAGTCGGAGGGATGTAATTCCCATCCTTCAAGTACCTATGAAAGCACCCAGCTGCTGGTAATACTGCCTGAATACATGAGGATTGATTGCGTTAAACCAAACCAAACCAAATTCACTGCCATTGAGTCTATTTGAACTCATAGCGACTCCCATAGAATTTCCAAGGCTGTCAGTCTTTATGGAAGCAGACTTTCTCATCTTTCTCCCATAGAGCATCTGGAGGGTTTGAACCACTGACCTTTGGTTAGCTGCCAAATACTTTAACCATTGCTTCACTAAAGCTCTTTGAGGATTCAGTTAAGTTCTTCCAAAAATCTTGTTCCTTTCCCTACATTTTCTCAGTGGGATCTTTATACTGTCTTGGCACCTCCAGTTTTCTGGAACAGGCTATATCCTGTTTGCTTACTAGATGAGAACACCTGTTAACACCTTAGAACCTTCCTGAGGGTTAACAGCAAGGGTGTGGTAGTCCAAGGTCAGTTTTCCCAGTGTCTCATTCCTCACCAGGCCCTAGTCTTTAGGCCTATCTGGTCTTCTCCTGTGTATACAATACATGTGCATATTTTCCACAGTTGGTGTTGTCCTATGCTATACCATTTTATAAAGCTGCCTCACTTATTTAACTATATATTGTGAACATCTCTTTGTGCTTTGATCATCTGATATAGTGCTTTTCAAACTATTGGTGGCGAAGGGCCTTTTTCTCCCCCTAATCCATCATGGGCTGATACTTTTGTAAAATTAAAAAAAAAAAAAAAAAAAAGGAGTTAAAAAGACACACACAAAATAGACATACAAAAACAGAAGCCGAAATGCTTTTCAAAATACATAAATTACATTTGAATTCATATAATCAGAAGAAACATTTCATAGGGAAAAAGAAAAAGAATTACAAAAAGTCCAAAAAGAAGTTACAGCTTGCAGACTGGCAGTGGTCTATTGAGTAGCACTGGTCTAGTATGTTTGTAATGATTTCGTAGAATTCCATCATATCAGTTTGTTTAACCTATTTCTTACTTACTTTTAGGTTGTTTCAGAGTTTCAGTCATAGTAAACAGTGCTGTGATGAATATCTTTATAGTAAAGTGTTTGTCCACAACCCTGAGTGTGGTTTCTTTAGAATAAATTTCTGAAAGTAAAGTTTCTGAGGTATAAGAGCATATGCAGTATGCCATTGGCTTTGGCTTTTTAAATGAGGTAGTAAATAGCTATCCATTGGAAGTTAGATTTTGTACTGAAGACTAAAAGAAAAATAACTTAGCAAATCTTCTTTAGGTGATGTTGAGACAGCTGTAAAATTTGCAACTCAACTTATGGATCGGGGAGCAGATGCTAGTCTGCGGAGTCGTTGGACCAACATGAATGCTTTGCATTATGCTGCTTACTTTGATGTCCCGGAGCTGGTGAGAGTGATTTTGAAGACATCGAAACCAAAAGGCAAGTGCTAGAAGATCACCATTAGAAGCTATTAATTGAAAACTTTTTTAGTGTCAGAAAAATTTTAATTCAAGGAAATTTTTATTCCTGCTCCATCTTTTTCCATATGGTCTCCTATACCATTTAAAAAAAAAAATTAAAAAATACATTTTATTGAAATGTGATTTATGTACAGTGAAATACACAAAACTAAAGTGACATGGGTCAATGCATTTTTTTTAAAAAAAAATTTTATTGAGTAACTATTATACTATTACCAAAGGCATAAAAAGAGCAGTATTACCCAAGAAAACATGGCTTTTATAATTATGTAATTGAATCCATATGCTATGTAATTCTTTTGTATAGCTTGTGTAGCCAGAGGTAGAGGAAAGAAAGCCTTCAGAGGTAGGCAGTCAGATAATACAGAATATATATTTTTGATGGCACTCAGTTTTGAAATTCTGATTCTCCTTAAATAATAAAACTTCAGGTCTTCTGTCTACCACACACTTTGGTGGTGATATACTGAAATTTGCTTACCCAATCCACTGAGTTGATTTTGACTCACAGTGACCCTATAGGACAGAGTAGTATTGCCCCATAGGGTTTCTAAGGCTGTAAATCTCTATGGAAGCAGACTGCCTCATCTTTCTCCCATAGAGTGGCTGGTAGGTTTGAACTGCTGACCTTTTGGTTAGCAGCTGAATACCTTAACCACTGTACCATCACAGTTCCAGATGAACATTAGAATATCTACATTACACTCCTGGTATTTTGACTTTCTCTCTGGTTCTTTCAGTGGGTCAGTTTTCTTTTGAGAAAAAGAAATGAGAGCAAGTGCAATGCTTTACGACAGTATATAATACTTTTCCCATATGTAGAAGACATGTTTTAGAGATAGAATAATAAATTTCCTAAAATGTTTGTTCCTAACTTCCACTTTGTATAATTGCCAATTTTCTCCTTAAATTTTACCTTTTCATTTTATTTTTGAATGATGTTAGTAAGGAAGCCTCTGTTGATAGTAATAACTCAGGAGCATGTTGGAGATAGAACGTATGGGGTTGTGTGGTTTACGTGAAGGTAGGCCTTGCAGAACCAGAGGTATATTAAACCCTTGTTAGAGTAAGCATTCAAAATGTGATTCCCAAATCTGATGTGTTTCCTGTGTTTAAGAATTGTATAATAATGATTTTCTGATTGTTGTTAAAATGTTCTTAGAATTGCAGGATTCATTTTCTTATTATGAAGCCCAAATTAATTTCTTGTATAGAGTATTATGAACCAATTTTATGGGTAAACATTCCTATGTTAATTAGGCTTTTGCTGATTCTTTGTTTGAAAATTCTGCCTTATTTACCTACCATGGTTGGGTAGTAAGTATTTTAGGCTTTGTGGACCATATGGTCTCTGTGGCAGCTACACAAGTCCCCTGTTAAAGCATGAAAGTAGCTATGGAGAATAAATGTGCGTGTGTGAGTATGTTCCAATAAAACTGTTTACAAAAACAGGTGATGGGTTGGATTTGGCATGTGGGCCATAGTTTGCTGATCCTTGACTTAAACCTGACTACCTTGCTGTAGATGTCGTAGCAAATATGCAAGAGGTTTAATGAGTGCTTGTGTTAGGATAGATGCTTTTTACAAATATGAATTACTGCCATTATTGCTGTTAAGTATGGTTTAGTTTGTGGTAGTTGGAAAACTCATGAAAATATCAGTCCATTTTATAATTAAATTTTATTGTAGTCCTAGTTAACCAGGTTGTGATATGAAGATGTTGTTCCGTTGTGAAATGGTGCATTTGGGGGGATTGGTTTAAGATTCATCAATAATTTAAAAAACAACAAACAAAACAACATCCTCCCCTGAAACCCTGTCTCCTTTTAAATTATAATAGGTAAATTTAAATTTTCAGTTAATAGTCTTATGGTGTTAATTGCAGATGTGGATGCCACTTGCAGTGACTTTAACTTTGGAACTGCTCTGCATATTGCAGCATACAACTTGTGTGCAGGTGCTGTGAAATGCTTATTGGAGCATGGAGCAAATCCCGCATTTAGGGTAAGAGGTTAATTTAAAAGGGGAAAGAAAAGAATTAAGCCTTATGTTATCTCCCATGAAAGAATTGAATATTATAATGGACTCTTACTTGAGCAGGTAATTTATATTTTTGTGCCACATATAAATAGTAGTGATGATAAACTTTATCTGAAATAAACTTAAGGCATAACGGTGAATTTCAGTCCTCTTATATTGATAAGCTCTACAAAACTTATTTCCATTCAGGAAAGTAAGATGCCCCTTATGTTGTCATAATCTTTGACTTTAGATATCTTTCATATGCATTGTCAACGTGTTTATGAAAAGTAAGCTGTTAAATTAAAATGAGTATGCACATTGAGTTTTTCTATTAAATCATACTTTAAATTTTTTTGGAAAGAAGTTTCATTTGGAAAGTTAAAAAATAAACATTTAAGAATGAAATGAACCTTTAAATATTAAATGTTTAAAAGAAAAAATATATTTTTTTCACAGTGATAATATCATTAATGTGCAAAGTTAACACACAGGATTGAATTTCATAATCTTCAAATCCTATAGTATTTTATTGTCTTTGAGAAAGTGGTTCTCACTTTTCTATTCCTTATATAAATAACAGTGACTCACTCTAGCAGAAATTCTTAATTGGGTCTGTGACTTCTTATGAAGGACTCGGATGGGCAGAGAACAGTGTAATGTTTGAAAAAGCTTCCTCTGCCCTGTCACTTTCTTATTTTCCTTCTCCTCCTTAATTCTTTGCCACTTTTCTTTCTGCTTAAGTTCATCAGTTAGTCCCCAGTTTTTACTTCCATAGTGATACTGCCTCGGAAACCCAAGGAGGGGTCACTATGAGTCAGGTCCGACTCAACGGCACATAACAACAGCTACCAGAATATATGCTCTTTGAGGACAGGACTTTTTGTTTTCTTTACTGTGGTGTCTCTAGCACCTTAGAGCTGTGTCTGGCATATAGTAGGTACTCAGTAATTTTTTTTTTTTTAAACTGGTAAAATATATATGACAGAACATTTGCCATTTCAACACTTTCACATATTCAATTTAGCACAATAAATATTTCTGAATAAGTAAGTGATGAATGGATTTAACTTAAAATTTCTGCAAAAATAATTTTCTTTGACTCTGTAGAAAAAACAAACTCACTGTCCTCGAGTTGGATTTGAGTCATAGTGACCCCTCCTTGGGTTTGAGGCAGTATCACTAGTTAGCAGTCAAATGCCTTAGGCACTATGCTACCAGAGCTCCTCTTGACTCTGTAGAGGTCTGTATAAATATGAATTTATTTATTTATTTATTTTGTAGAATGACAAAGGACAGATGCCTGCTGATGTTGTTCCAGACCCAGTAGATATGCCATTAGAAATGGCAGATGCAGCAGCAACTGCCAAAGAAATCAAGCAGATGCTATTAGATGCAGTGCCTCTGTCGTGTGATATCTCAAAGGCGACGCTTCCAAATTATGATCATGTCATGGGCAAGACGATGCTGACATCACTTGGCCTGAAGTTGGGGGATCGTGTTGTTATTGCAGGACAGAAGGTATAGTAAATAACTAACTGTCACCTTAAGCTACTCCTTGGTCATCATGCCCATGGCCTGTGTGCCAAGGACTGCATACAGGATGGCCAGAATTTTAAGATTTTTTAAAAAAGGTTCAGTATGTAGGTAGAAAGACACTTAATGGAAATTGTGAGACTTAGATTAAAGTATAATATAAAGTACGATTTGAAAATAGGAACTGTTTGAACTTGACAGTGTCTTTATTTCAATGGGAAGAGAGTTCAGTATAGTAGGACATTTGTGCGAGTTTAGAGGCAGAAGATGAGAAATGATCCAGCCTGCAGATTGTTCCTTGCACCTCCCTCCCTTGGCTCACCATGGTGCTTCTCCCCCACTACAACCTCGCTGAAATTGAGCAAAGGAGACCCTCACCATTCATGGTGTTTAGCTTTCGGGTCCCCCAGATAGGGAAATCTTAGCCATTATATTAAACTGATAATGAAAATGTATATGGAAAAGATGACTCTTCCCTGCCCCTCACTGGAAGTGCTCCGGGCATCTCTGTCTTTCCAAAGCCTATTTCCTTATGACATTCACTTATTGCCAGGCTCTCTTTTATGAAACTCTTTTTTTTTTTTTTTTTTTCAAACAAACAAACAACTAACTTTGGAGTTAATAAAGAACTCATTCTGGAGAATGAAACAGAATTCCTGCTTGGATATTGAATTTTCTAATATTAGTACTTCTTGATGTTTGGGTGATTTTGTGGGAAGGGGGCTAACTTTTCCAGAAAACTGAAATTTAAAGATTAGACTTATTGAGCAAATTGCATTAAAAATGAAACAAAACTACTTCCAAACTATTATTTTAACAGTGATAGTCATCAGCTTCCAAAAGAATGCATTCATAGGGTGTTTACCATGGAGCTAAAATATAAAAAAATTATGAATGCATAGCATTTATATATGTATATAGGATTGATATTCAGCTTTTGTAGTATTCCTGTAGTATGTCTGAGAATGGACTTTTATTATTATTATTATTATTTATTTTTGCAGTGTTCCTCCCCCTCCCCTTCCACCCCTGGTAACCAACAAAGAAAGTTTGAGAATGGACTTTTTAAAGAGTTATTTTATGGTTTTTACTTTTTATTTTGGAAATTGTGAGCTATGTAAAAGTGTAATGAACATACATATACCAGTCAACTTGCTTTAACACTTACCAACTCATGGCCAGACTGGTCTCATTTATATTCTCTCTCAGTTTGTTGCTTGTCTTTTCATTTTCTTAACAGTGTCTTTCAAGGAGCAGACATTTTTTTATTTTGATGAAATCCAGTTTTTCAACTTTTTCTTTTAAGAATTATGCTTTTGGTGTCACAGCTGAGAAATTATCTTCTGTGTTTTCTAGAAATCTTATAGTTTTAAGCTTTACTTTTAGTTTTATATTTAATTTTGAGTTAGTTTTGTATAGGGTATTAAGTATGGCCTTTTTTCTTTTTCTTTTTTTACATATTAAAAAAAAAAAAAAAAACCCACTGCCATCTACTGGATTCTGACTCATAGCAACCCCCACTGAGTTTCCAAGATGGTAAATCTTTATGGAAGTAGATTGCCCCATCTGCCTTCCATGGAGTGGCTGGTGGGTTTGAACTGCTAACCTTCTGGTTAGCAGTCAAATGCCTTAGGCACTGCGCCACCAGAACTCCTTTTTTTTTTTTTGCATGCAGTTAGCTATATTCTAGCATCATGGTTTTTTTTTTTTTTAATTTATTGAGGCTTGGTTTGTGGCCTAATGTGGTCTATCATGGAGAATGTTCCATGTGCGCTGGAAAAGAATGTATATTGTGCTGTTGCTGGGTGAAGTGCTCTGTAGATGTCTATAAGGTCAAGTTGGTGGATTGTACTGTTTAGTTCTGCAACTTTGTTGAGTTCCTTGCCAGTTGTGTTCTATCTTTGATTGAAAGTGGTATATTAAAATCTCCTGCTATTACTGTGGTGTCATCTGTTTGCATTTTCAATTCTGTTAAAGTCTGATTTTTGTATTTCAGGGCTCTTTCATTGGGTGCATAGATACTTATTATGATAATGTCCTCTTGGTCCATCGATCCTTTAATCATAATACAATGTCCTTCCTTGTCTCTTATGGTGGTTTTTGTCTTAAAGTCAATTTTATCAGAAATTCATATTGCCACTCCTGCTCTTTTTTGATTACCATTTGCTTGATGTATCTCTTCCAACTTTTGATTTTCTATTTTTGTCTTTGTCTCTAAAGTATGTCTCTTGTAGACAGCATATTCATGGGTTTTGTTTTCTTATCCAGTCTGCAACTCTCCATCTCTTGAGGGATGGATTTTATCCGTTTATTTTGTGTAATTATTGACAAGTGTGAATTTGTGGCTGTCATTGTTATGTGTTTTTTCATGGTGTTGCTGATTTCTTTGTTCCATATAATTTTCTGTGCTGAGCTCATTTTGTTTATCAATTGTGTTATCATTTCCTTCATTGCTGTTGTTTTAGTATTTGCTAAATATTTATGCTTGTCCTCTTTTTTATTTTGATGTGAAGATCTGTTATTTTTCTTTGAGGTTTATGATTTATAATTTTCTTCCTATGTTTAGAACAGTCCATTCTATCTCACAGTTGTCTTGACTTCCACATCATTTAGAAGTTCTGTACCTACTGGTTTTTTTGTTCTTTCTTTCTTTCTTTTTCCCCTCTTTTTGGTTTGTAGTTGTTCTCATTTGATAATTGATGTCTCTGGTCCCTCTTGTAAGCTTATTTTCCTTTGGATGCTTCCATTTCTGGGTTGGTTTCTGGGTTATGTCATCATGTGTATTTATCATTGGTTGTTTTTTTGCTGTTGTTGGTTCTTCTTCTAACATGTCTTGTAAGGGTATGCTTTTAACAAATTCCCTTAATTATTGCTTATCTGGAAATGTCCTAATTTCACTGTCATGTTTGTAGGACAATTTTGCTGAGTACATAATTCTTGGTTGGAAATCTTTTTCTTTTAGGGTTTTTTATATACCCTCCCATTGCCTTCTCACCTGCTTGGTTTCTGCTGAGAAGTCTGAGCTTAGTCTTATTGTTTACCCTTTGTAGGTAACTTTTCATTTTTCCCATGCTGCTTTCAGGATTCTTACTTTGTCTTTGGTTTTGGTGAGTTTGATTATGATGTATCTTGGTGATTTTCTTTTGCAGTCTATCCTGTTTGCGGTTTGTTGAATTTCTTGAATGGATATATTCTCATCTTTCATCACATAAGGGAAATTCTCTTCCAACAAATCTTTGACAATTTTCTCTATGGTTTTATTTGTCTTTTCCTGTTCTGGAATTCCAGTTACACTTAGGTTATTCCTGTTGATGGTATGCCATATGAATCTTTTGTTTTCTTCATTTTGTTTTGATCTTTTTTTTGTTTGTTCCCTTACCAAAGTAGTATTGAGGTATTTGTCTTCAATGTCACTAATTTTATCTTCCATTGATTTGATTCTACTCCTTTGCCTGTTCAATGTGTTATCCATTTCTGAGAAGTTAGTGTTAATCTTCTGGATTTCTATCTGTAGATTTTGTATCATTTCTAATTTTTAATTTTTGTTGTCATTTTGTTCTTGTATTGTCTTCTGAAATTGTTCGAGAGTTTTGTCTGTGTTTTTCTTTGTTTGTCAGTGTTTTCTTTGATCTGTCTCTCAATCTGTTGAAGGTACCTAAATGTAATTGTTTTGAATTCCTTATCAGGGAGTTCCAATGCTGCTTCTTCCTCAGGGATGTTTTCTAGGTCTGTATCCTGGTCCCTTGTTTCTACTACTTTATCTTGCTTCTTTGTGTGGACTGTGATGGTCTGTTTTCACTGAGACATTGTGACATTTTTTAATTGGTGATTGTATGTTGCTGTGATTTGCCTAAGATTTTTTTTTTTTCTTTGTTGTGATATATCTTAGTAAGCTGGGTACTGTGATCTTTTATTCGCTAGTTTGCAGTACTTAGTCATCAACCACCTGTCTCCTGGTAGGTGTGATAGTGAATGAGAATAGGTGCACAGATCTCTGTTTGCTGTTCGTGAAAATCAATGAAGGGTGAGTTGGACTTGTATTGGCTGTCATCTATTGTTGGTCCTCTAGCATCATGTTTTGGAAAAGACTTCTTTCTCTGTTGAATTATCTTCTGCCTTTGTAGAGTATATATTTTTGGATTCTATTCTGTTTCATTTATTTGTATGATCAATTTGTTTATTTTAAAGTTTTTAACTAGAAATTCAACTCAGGTTTGTTTTTTTTCCCCCTTGAGTGAGCATTGACAATTTGTGTCTTATAAGGAATTGAAACATTTTATTTCATTTGTCAGATTTATGGCTCTAAAGTTGTTCATAGTAGTTCCTGTCATCCCTTTAATGACTGAAGATCTCTCTTTGTGTTTTCAAGGGTATAAATCTTTACAGAAGCAATCCTCCTCATTTTTCTTCCACAGAGTGGCTGATGGGTTCAAACTGCCAACCCTTTGGTTATCAGCCCAATGCCTTAACCACAGTGCCATCAGAGGCCCCCCTCCTTTTTACCCCAAAAGTTGTTCACTGTATTTTCTGTTATCCTGTTAATGATCTCTCTGTCATTTACAGGAGTGGTTGGTGGTTTTGAACCATCAGGCTTCTGGTCAGCAGTCAAATGCCTTAGGCACTACGCCACCATAGCTCCCTGTCATTTACAATGTTTGTAATTTGTGTCTTCTCTCTATTTCCTTGGTCAATCCATTTAAAAGTTTATTTTATTGATCTTTCCAAAGAATTAACTTTTGGTTTCACTGATTTTTCTTTATTGTTTATCTGCTCTCAATTTCTTTTATCTTTATTATTTCCTTCCTTTTGCTTGCTTAATGTCTTCAGTTTCTAACTCCTTAAGGTAGAAACTTAGATCACTGATTTGAGACATTTCTTTTCTTCTAATAAAACATTTCATGCTATAAATCTCCCTCTAAGCACTGCTTTTGCTTCATGACACACATTTTCCTATATTGTGTTCTCATTTTCATTCAATTCATTATAATTCCTTGGGGTTTTCTCTTTCACTAATGGATAATTTAGGAGTTTGTTTTTTAATTTCCAGATATTTGGAGATTTTCCATGTGTCTTTCTGCTGCTGATTTCTGGTTTAATTCCATTATGATCTAAGAACATATTTTACATGATTTCTTTTAAATTTGTATCCTGCTGTTTTGGATGAAAAACAAGAACAAAAAGCAGTTCCCACTGAGTTGAGTTGACTCCTACTCATGGTGACCCCATGTGTGTCGGAGTAGAACTGTGCTCAATAGGATTTTTTTTTTTTTTTAAATGGCTTGTTTTTCAGAAGAGGATCACCAGGCCATTCTTCTGAGGTGCCTCTGGTTGGATTCAAACCTCTAACCTTTCACTTAGCAGCCTAGTGTGTTAACCATTTGTACCACCCAGGGACTGGTTTTT